TATTGGATGAAATTCTCGACTCAATAAGTATGCATGCATTATTTTTGGAAGATGATTTATCAATTTTTTGTTCTATATAGCATATAGTTTATCATCATCGGATACCCAAGGATGTTTTCATCTTTACTCATCACCGGGTGCATGATCACTCGTGGATTTCTGACGATGATAGTTTATTTGTAACTCAACATTCTAATGCATTTAAAAAAGAGATTTTACATATAACGTTTGAAAAATTTTTATCAACAGAAAAAAATGAAAGGAAATTCAAAATGAATTTTAGAAATGCAAAAATTATAATTTCTTTGTTACCTGGAGTATTAGAAACGCATTGGGGAAAGAAAAAGAAAAACACAAGGTTTATTGAATTACGATATAAAACCATGTGCTAGTACATTTTCTTTCTTTTACAATTCAATTAACTGCAAACGAACTAAATGTTAAAAAGAGAATTGATTACGTATAAACTGTATTGAGCATGTCTTAATAAATATTTTATCAGAGGAAATGCAGTTAAACCAATTAAAAAAAATAAACAATGCTATGAATTAGATAGTCGAATTTAGCTTATGTGCGTAGGATTCTAAAATAAATTAGATCATATTTAGCCAGCGAGGTAGCTTTATATACATGTATGCTGACTTAAGAAGCCCCCCCCCCCAAAAAAAAAAATAATAAATAAATAACTCTCCTTTAGAGAAAAATAATATGTATGAAGGCACGTGGCGTACGCATCGACAACATTCTTTTATCCCGTTCCTAACCCAGTCCAACACAACACTTATAAAGTTATAGACATTTCATAATTATTATTTGTTTAATAATTTTGTAAATTAAAAAAAAATTAAATAAAAATTGAGATTAATAATTAAGTTATCTGTTGTGGGTATCCACCCTTTCTTTAAAAAAAGAGAATTGTAGAAGACTTTTATAATGAATTAAGAGAACGTTTTGATTTTTATAAATGAAAGTCTTAGTATAAAACGAAACCATATTCCTGTTTTTCATGAACAGGCGAAATCCAGATAATTTTTGCAGAAAAGTTTAGTATTAACGGGGTTCAAAATACTTAACATTATGCTGAATATTTAAGAAAACCTTTCACAAAACCATTATTTTTTTTACATCCGACTTTAGAGTAATTTGTTTGGTTTACAACTCTTAATAATGTTAATGACGTAGGATATGTTTTACAAACCGGGCCCATCTTCTTACATTTTCGCCAGCCATTTAGTTAAAGAAATTCAAAAATCATAGATAATCCTTCGTCGGTATTTTTTATAAACTTGCAAAATAAGGAGTGGAATATTTAAGAAAATATATTAAAATCTGGTAATGGAAGAGAGACAAAAGTTAAGATAGAGTGAAAAACATATTTTTTTAAGGAAATGATTCCCCGTGTTGAGCCTCTTTTTGCGTCAAAGGGAAGCAACTTGCACAATTTATCGTATCCAGTCGCTTCGGACAATACGTGTTTCATTTGAGAATTCCTGATATATGAAGAAATTACCTTAAACTATACCAGTATCACTTGTTTCTTAATATCGTAGTTAGAAAAATGCGTTTTAAAAGTGTTGAATCGTGTACCTTTGATAACTTTTTCACCTGCAAATTGTTGGTTGACTGATGTCACATTTAAATGTCTCATTCAACACAGTCCCATTTTAACCCTCCATTGTTCACATTTTCAATACACCATGAATCGATAGTACGACAGACTTTATCGTCATGGAAAAAAATTGGGACCACAAATAACATGAATAACCCTTTGCGATCTATTGACTTGATCGTTTAAGGGTTCTCGTCTGATCATGGCGATTATTTCGTTCATTTCCATCAACAATTACCCTTATATATTCCCATGACTTTGCGGAATTTCCCATTTTAAATAAAGAAATTGCTTTTGTTCTATTCAATCAATTCTATGACCTTTTGTTTCAAGATATTATTATTCAGTAACGTCTCAGGATTATCAATCTCTTCTTTTCATTTAATGGCCGATTGTTTTAGATCATTCAAACAAGCAGAGTGATTTTTATCTCCATGGTGGTTGATGATGCCATTGTTTCCAAAGCTTCACAATGAAGCTCCATGTTAAGTATCTGTACCAGAAAGGGTACTTTTACACTTAATTTGTCTTCCAAACTGAAGAATTTTTATATTTATATTTTGAGACATGCATCTCTGATATCAATCTGTGATGTTTTTGGTTTTACTTTTTATGAAAGAATTACATAATGCATTATGCCTGCTTTTTCTTTGAAGACATTGGACAATGATATGCATAGTATTACTTAAATATATTTCCATTTCCAATTTTTTTCTCTGTGATTACTCTTTGGAGTTTATTTCTTGATAATTCTGCCGGAATGTAAATTAGGCAGGTCGATAGGTCAGGAGCTAAGGAGGCCTAATACGCATGCAAATCTCGTGCGCATCTGTCTCTGTGTCTGACGCTAAGGAGGCAAAATATGCATGTAAATCTCGTGCGGCTGCCTTTGTGTTTGACGTCAGTGGGCGAGGACTGTTGAAATTAGCATGGAAGTCCTCGTGTGATTTAAGTATATGTCTACATTTTAAAGTCTAAATCTACAATTTTATTTCACAATGAAATGGAAATATAAGGAATCACTGTCTAGTTTTGAGAGTATGCCAGGGACATCAACAATAGTGGGAAACATGGGACAGTGATTCCTTAAATCATCATTTCATTAACATTTTATACATTTTAGATGAAAGCATATGTAAAACGCCTTTCAATACTTTCAGTACTGCGATTTTAAAGCTGCCAACACCGCTAGGTTTATATATCATATATCAGTCTAGCATAGGTGTTGTTAATAGATTACTTAGAGTTTGTATTGAGGTAACTTTTCCAGGAGAATCTCATTTATAGGTCATTCTTTTTTTTGGGGAGGGGAGCCCAGCTGCATGGATTTCTTTTGTTTGTTTTCTCCTTCTTTTTACACAAATCCAAAATGACCTTGAAAGGGGAAAATGTATGCAAAAGAAATTGTTTGATCTCATTTTGTCTGTATTTTTACAATCCATGTCTCCAAAGAACTCCACTCCACTTTACCCCACTCCGGTTTTTGGCCCAAGCCAATATATCACAGTTATAAGCGAGTTACAAGGAATCAATGCACACATATTTGCTATTTGTGTTCCCTGAAATCAAATGCAGAATACTGGGATATATATTTATCGTAAGTCAAACAAAAATATATTCAAATACGATAAAATTGAATTTTTTGGTAAAGTGTGTGTTGTATGCACAGGGGCTTGCTCCCGGCGTGTTAATTATTACTATTATTTGAAAATAGCATGTAGTCTAGTTGTTTTATTGTTAACCCTATAATTATGACTTTTATTAAAAAATAATTATTACACGCCGGGAGCAAGCCAAATTATTGGAAAACATGATGATGCAATGTTTTGGTTATGTTTTGTTCTATAAATAAACATTGGAAAAAAGGTTTAAAAATATCACACTGCAATTTTAAAAATGAGATTATTAGGTCATCTGAGCTGTAAATTCTGATCACGATTTGTTTGCCATCCGTCTGTTAACATTTCTCATTTTCAACTTATTCTCGAAAACCATAGGGTCAATTTTCATTAAGCATGGTACAAAGCATCCTTGAGAAAATGGGTGTTTATTTAGAAAAGTTTAGGGCCATGTTATTTTACAAGAGGAGACAATCAACATGATCAAGAAAAGACAAAAACCGGATGGTGTCATCAGGGTTATCAACATTTGCAATCTGATTAAAATCAGATCCTGTGATCCGCTCACATATAGATCGCTACACAGTAGCGATCTATGTGAGCGGATCAAAGGATCTAATATTAATCAGATTGACACATTTGAAAATTTAATCATGGAGGAAACTGCGCGAAGGCAAAAGGTGACCGAAAACACACGAATGCGTCCTAGACTTCCTAACCTTCAATAATCAATGATTGTTTTTACAATTTTTTATACTTACCACTGCAACAAAAACCTTTAAAGTAACCAACGATTTTTCAAGCTAAAAAAGACAAATTGAATTGAAATTAAAGATTATGTGTCTTACCTCACAAATGTACCCATATGTAATGGTCCTAACTGTGCTTTTTTTTAAATAGATTTTTTCATCGAATCAACTCCCTTGTTTACTTTTCCCTGTGCCCTTGCTAAATATATATATCGCGCCACGCGACGTTTCCTATATATATCTATGACATTTATAGACAAATGCAATGAATCTTAAAAAAAACACTATATATTCATTTATCATGTTTATACTGGAAGGTGTAAATACATGTGTATATCGTGAATAGAATTTACTGACATTTATGATACCCTGCCATACAAATCACCAGCAGACAGCCAAAAACAAAATCTCGTTCTCTCTTCTTTCCATCCAATAATAAAATGGATTGTGCCTCTATGTCCATAGTTATACAATGATAAACAACCGAAGTAAACACTCCACTCTATCCCTGCCCCTCCTCGCTTGACAGACACACACACTTCTTATATGTTAAACAATGCACACATGCCGAACATACATGTATATATCAAAGGCTTTTAATGGACATACATGGTCAATCTCTGATAATTAAAAATGTGTTATTAGTTAAAATTTATTAAGATTGATTTATAAAAAATCAAAATTTTTTATCAAAGTTAAATTAATGCTTTATAATTAAGTACAGTGCATTTATTAGATTTATAGAAATATATATAGAGACAGTGTGAACCGACTTTTGAGGTTAACATAAATAAATGCTTTTAAACTCAGAAAGACCGTAGGGTTACACCTTGAAAAAACTTGAGTGGCATATACCCTTCTCTTAGATTATGTAAAGTGGTGCATTTTGTGGAAGGATTATTTTAGAGTTTTCACGATTTTTTCCTACGGTACACTTGAAAAAGAAGTTGCTCTCGTGAATTTACATATCCAACTACATGTACAACATATTGAATGCACTTTTTTTTATCTTATGCAGGGGCATTTAAGAAGTTGGTGATGCAGTGGGATTTTTTTGTAATCATATCCTTCCTATCAGTAAGTATATCTTTTCTCTTAATATGTATCCAACAATGATGAATGATTGATTGTATGTTGTTTTACGTCCCATGCGAGAATTTTTCATCCATGCAGAGACGTCCCAATGTACCGGTGAAGGGCTTCACATTTTGAACTTTACTCGGCACTTAGGGCCATTGAGAAGTGAGAGATCTTTATCGTGCCAGCGCCTTGAATAAATATAAAGTAAAAAATTTTGGGGAACTTTAACTTGTAAAGGATTCGTTTAAGGTGAACAATAATTGAAACCATCAACATATTTAGCCTTCGGTACCATCTCCATATCTATGTACGTGAATCGAGGATCATTTAACTAGCATATAGCTTGTGTGTTGTAAAAATTGATTCCTGATATGAAGGCTTCCATTTGACTCAAAGATGCATGAAATAGACAATGCAGCATATCAATTCTGCATTGTTAAAAATGATTTTTCTCTAAGCTTTGATGAACAATTCAACTCAATTAAATCAATTTCTAGATGCCTGTTGTAATGACCAAGAATTTCACTTGCCCAGCGAGCATGAATACAAAAGAAATTGTGGAATCCTGTCCAACAACTAAAGAGCAATGGAGAAGTGCAGCGGAAAGAAAAAATTGCACAAATCTGAAAGAAAAATGCCTAGACAATAAGGAACTTCTGTACCATTGCATTATGAACACAGAACAAACTCACCCTGTTGAAGTGTGTTACCCTGAATTTGTGGTAGCAGGTATGTATTGGAACAACGAAAGATAACTGTTTTATCATGTTTATATACTTTAATTATATATATATATATATATATATATATATATATATATATATATATATATATATATATATATATATATATATATATATATATATATATATATACTAGTATTTACAATATTTCAACAATGTAGGTGGATACTGCCTAGAATACAATGACGGCGGAATGCGGGTAATGCTTACTTTAAACATCAGCTGTCGAAATCATACAAAGAAGTGCCCTAATGTTTACTTGTCTTCCCGTGCGTTTGAATGTAAGTGAAAGATAAATGAATCATTTAGTGTATATCTACTAAAAACATACTTATATTAGCTGGTCAATTAATGAAATGTTTTTAATCTTTGCATTATGTCTTTCAAATAACCTCTTTTAAATAAAAAAAGCTTGCAATACAGTTTTGAAATCAAGTGCTGTATAAGTGTTATGAAACCTCAGTTCAGATATTTAAATTTTTTTCTACGGAAATACATGAACTATCAAAAATTGTACTGACTTTTTATAACTGTAAGTGGTAATTGTATTACATCTGTTTTCATTCTGGGACAGTGGACAATTGTTATTGTTATACCTTTAAAAATGGTTTCATTTACAAATATCTACAAAAAGTAAAACATATCCAATGTTTTGCTGAGTGGGCATAAAAATCGATGTTGGACCGCTGAGTGAGATGTTGGACCGGTCATTGAGTTGGACCGCTTAGTCACATAATGGGCGGAACTTAATATAATTTTCATTCGTTGGTGTTAAACATTGACAGACCTAAGGTACATTACAGAACAAAGTACACATTATATGTATGCCAAAAATAATAAAAGGAAATGTATAACAAAATATCCATTGACTATTTTCTCAGGCAAAATGCGTTTTATTGACATTTAAACCAAACTGTATGTCATTTGTGTAATGGCCATATGCAGACAGTTTGGTTCTTGGGTGTGACAAAACGCATGTTGCCCTCCATATCAATCAGTAAATGCATATTCATAAGTATTTATCCTTCATTTAACAAATCAAAGATTTAGCAATTTTAATTTCAGTTTCATTGAAGTGATGAAAAAAAAAATGAAAACACATAGCAGACCAGATGCGTCATGTTAAAATATTATTTGATTAAACGTCATAGATATGTCATCATCCTTAACGATGCCGATTCTAATTCCAGTGCTCATGACTTTGAGCAGCTTTTTAATTTCATGCAGTCATTTTTGCGACTGTACGCCTTTTCCAAATATTTTGATTTTAATACAAAATTAACATCTGTAATCCCTACTGGTCAGAATTTTTTACGACACTAATTAGTGAAAAACGCTGAAGTGGCCTACCGACGTACCTATTTACGGATTTTGTAAGCAACACATGACGTTGAGGAATGATGCATGACGTTGAGGAATGACGCATGACTCGCTTGTATGTTCAAGACGTACATAGATATTAAACTAACTGCTCATGACAGAACATCTAAATAAGCATACTAGCAATTTAAAAATTGCTAATTTTTTATCGACAAAAAACCTGTATGTGCTGATAATTCATCTACACTGAAATGTAGTTATACCGTAATGTGGCAATTTTAGATGTATTGGGATTGAAAAAATAAACTTAGCAATTAATTCCTACACCAAAGTAGACGGTGAATTTTTTTTTAAATTTCACAATTTATTGACTTTTTACAATAACTTTCATGTACTAGAATGAAAAAGAAATCTCCAGGGCAGTAACACAAATAGATATGGGAAAAGTTTGATCAGTTGGCGCTTTTCCAGCAAATTCCAATAGAGTCCAATAGTAAAATTTGACGACTTTTGAGATGGTCCCTCAAGAAAACGGGGTGGTAAACTTTCGATTTTTTAAATCTTAAAACAATAATTCCAACAGTAAAAATTAATTATTAAAATTATAAAAATTCCTAAGACAGAAATAATTAGACTTGGTCTCTTCAATTAGTGCAGATTCATGTCTGCTGAAATCATACCCTGACCCTTTGAAGGAAAGTTCGGGACCTTTTGTGGATTTTAACTTTTCAATACTGAACTTATTTCTGCTTTTTTCCTAACCACAGTGATCAGGTGAAGAGGGTTACCCTTGATCCTCTTGATTAAGACTCCGAACCACTATGTTTCAATTTTTAACAAGCATTTTTGAACGTGTGAATAATTCATAACCAAACGATGTTTTATATGTATTAATGACTTTAACCACACAATTGAAAATTAGGCAGGTGTAAAGACGAATAATGACCCCCATCAAATAATGATCGGGGGATCATTTTTCAACGACAAAAAATGACCCCCACCCGTAGAAAAATATCATTTTTTGTAGAAAAAGGATCCTAGGGGGTCATTATTTTATTTGCTAGTCCTATAAAATAATGACCCCCATTGAAAAATGACCCCCTTTAAAGTGATACAAAAAATACACTCTTTGATATCTTTTTTACAGCGAAACTTATTTTTACATTTTCTGTAACCAGAAAAATACAAAAAGTCGTATGAAATAATTAAGAGATTCACGTTGTCTTTCAATGCTAAAACTGTGTTTGAACAGAGA